GAAAGCAAAAGACTTGGCAACGATGCACCTCCCCCCAATGGAAAGCAGGGGGGTCACTCACTTTTGAGACCTACAATAATGTCAGGGGACCGACTTTTCAACTGCCTCCCCGCACACTAAGGGGGTTCCAACGACCCCGGCAGTCTTCAAAGCGGCCTGGACAAGCACCCAAAGGCAGTTCCTGATCAGCCGGGCTGTTGGGTCGACTTTTTGGTTTGCGTGCAGCCAGCACAACAGCCTGGTTGATCAGGCGCTGATCCCCAGGAGGGCCCGGTACAGACCGGGCCGCGGGGGCGTTGACCCCCCAAACCCCTCCCGGTAACTCCAAAAGGGTTTTCTAATATTTTTTTATGATATTATGTTTGTCAACTTTTAGGATCATTTGAATGACATACTTTGAAATGTCTTGTTTTGAATCATAACACTATTTTTTTCCCTGTTTGGACAGGGGTACTGTAATTTCACCTGATGCATTTCACTTTAAAATCAAAGTACCGTATTTTTCGGATATATGACCCTTTTTTTTTTTTTTTTTTTTCAAAATCTGACCCTCAATCACCCTCTCTTACACAGTACAAATACAATATTTATTTCCCTTTTAAAGCTTAATGTGGTTACAAAACTGCCCGGCACTTTGGTCAGACTAATACTAATTTTAGGATATTTTGATATAGGTTTATATTTGAGCAGTAATTTGAACAAATATTAGGTTTTGTAATTAGATACTGAGTAGTAGGTGGTAGACGAACCATAGGAGGTATATTTTCCTGCCAAAATTTTAAAACGAAAACCCTTTAAATTTTTTTAAAATATGGTGGTTGAGTGTCTTTTTTTTTTCCCCTAAAATATGCAAGATTAAGGAGTCTTGTATTCTACACACTTAGGTCCCCTAAATACTGTAACTTTAATTTTCCCAACTCATCCGGTTTTTTTTGATTTTATCTTTTTTTTTTTTTTTTTTTTTTTTTCCATAAGGGGAATAAAGAATTTTTCCCAAAACCATCTTTTAAAGTAAATTTAAACCGGGAAAAATCTGTCCCCCCTTTTTGTAAAAAGTTCCCAAAAGATTGAAGAAAATTTTTTCTTTTTTTTTGGGTAAATTTGGAGGCGGCCATTTTTAAAAAAAAAAAAAAAAAAAAATTAGATACATGGTGAAGGTGGGTTTGGGGTCAATCATGGGACCTTAAACCCCCCAGTTTAATGCTAGAAATTTTTGAATGAAATATATTTTTTCCCTATTTTTTTTTTAACATACGGGACATTTCCCACCAAGGCGGGGTGGCCCGAAAAAGAATAATTTCATCATATTCATTCCTTCTGTCTTCCCCCAAAATGGCCCTGGCATGTGGTGCGCAGTTAGAGATTTGTTATACCCCCGCTGCTCATTTTTAATATTTTTTAAAACTTAGAGAAATTTTATTTTGCTATCATCTGGGGGGTTCCCGTGTGGAAGAGCTTGAGCGCAGTGGAGCAGTGACCTGCACCGCTGCTAGTGAGCTGGAGTCTTGGCTGCCTCCCCAAATCACGGATTCATTCCCCCATCACAGCTCTAACTGTAGCTTAAAGGGTCAGTATCTGAAGAATCATATTTTTTTTTTTTAAAACATGTTTAAATTAAAAGTCACACAAATCATTTTAAAATGTGCAAAAGTGGAGAAAAAATTAATTCCAGTACTTAAGTTTTTGTATGTGCAAATTCAAATTTTTATTTTCTTTTCTGCAGTATCGATAATGTAACTTACGTGTAATAAATTTATTAGCGCAAAAGAAGGCCACTAGCATGGGTTCATTTTTTAAAGGAGAATTTAAAAAGGGAAAGCTATTAGATTTTTTTTAGAAAATACATTTTTTTTTTCGATGATTCCCAAGATGGATTCTAGAAATTAATTCCCCCCAACCCACTTTTCTTAAAATTTTCTGTACCCTATCAAACTGTGAATTTTAAATAAAGACAAAAAATAATATAAATTTATATCTCAAGTACATGTACAAGGATACAGGCCTAAATTATGTTTTTATTTTATTAAAAGATACATGTATAGGAAAAGAAAAAGGAATTTTTTATGGAATACCCTTGGCAACAATTGGCCACAATTCAAATTGAAAAAAAAAGCGTGCAAAATGGTTAAAAAGTATATTTTAGATGTGGTAGATAGCTGGAATATACTCGCAGCTGAAGTAGGAAATCAACCCTTGCAAAATAAAATATTCATCGGGAGAAGCGTTTTTAAACCCCAAAAGGTCATGAAACCCATAATATGCGTAAAGGGATACCCCTTGTAACTGTAGCTATAATTACTTGGGAACTACAGTATTAAATAATGGGTTTCCCTTTTGAATAGGGTTTTTTTTCTTATTTCGAAATTTTGGAAAATTAATCAAGTCAGATGGAACCCCACAGAGGTAACCATCAGCTGGGGGCACTGGTTGAGCTTGTTTGGGGGCAGCCCAAAAATCTCCTTTTTGGGGAGATTATTTGATTTTTGGGTGAGGAATATGATCAGGTTAGACCTCAGTACTTGTAAATTGTCCTTTAACAAGTTGTTTTGAAAAAAGTATTTTTTTTCCTTTCATCACTGCAGCTACTACCCCCTAAACCCGCCCATATGCTCCTCATTTTCCCCATCCTACCACCTCCATCCCACTTCTCCTCATCTACCTCTTACCATACCACCCCCCCATCATTTTTCATTGCCATCCACACAAAAAAAATAATTTTTTAAAAAATTAAAAAGGGGTAAAAATTTAAAAACAATTTCCTGATATACATACTGTTTTGACAGGGTAATATTTGGAAGGGGTTAGGGGGCCGGTTATTTTCATATGTCATTAGTCCTGAAATGGGAATAATCTTCATTTTTTTTTTTGGGGGGGAGGGAAATGGTTTTTCTTATAGTTACTTTTTAGATGTTTTATTCCCGACACCTCTGCAAAAACAGATTTGGAGGGGGAAAAGGGAATGAGATTGGGATTTTCTTTTTTGGGGGTTTTTTTTCCTTTTTGGGGGCCCCGCCCGGGGGAGAGGCCCCACTTTTTGGAAAAAAAAAAAAAAAACTTCGACTTTCCTTTGAACTTGAATCGGCAAGCTTTTTGCAAAAGTCCCTCTTAAGATTTCAATCATCAGTCCTAGTACTTTCTAAAAATAATTACATTCCTTTTTTTTTTTTTGGGGGGGGGGTGAGAATCAACCTTATAGTCATATTCTTTTTTACAGAATCGTATGACGCAGACACAGCAGAAAACTTGGCCAACGAAGCCACTACGACCCCCCCTCCTAACCCCGCCGAGGAGGGGCTAAGGGAACAATTGAGCGGGGATGCTGTCAATTGCTTCACTGGAGGGAAATTCCAAAGGGATGCCCGCCGGAGAAGTAGAAGGCGACTGGAGGAGCACAGCAGAAGGCTAGTGCATCCTCAGGGCTCTTCCACAATTTTGGAGGAGTTGGAGGAGAAAGTACGTGAGCTGGAGGAGGCTGTTAGCCGCAAAGAGGAGGAACTCCGCCTGGCTGACACCGAGGCGTGTGAGCTCAACAGTCAGTTACAGTCTCGTGATGTAGCCCTCGCTCAAAAAGTAAGTTATCAATTACATCTTGATGTTGACAAAGTAATTGATTTATTTACCTGTAAAATTACAAGTGTACCTATATGTACTTCTCTCATGATAAATATGAGGAGCAAAATTATAGTATAGTAGACAACAATTAAAATCACTTAACATGCACATTGTGTAATGTTTATAATCAGAATTAATTTATTTAAAACTGTTCTGTATTTTTAAAATTTAGGGCTGAGTTTTTTGGTAAATTTTTATGTTTTTTCAAAAATTTGGGCAATATTTGGAAAAGAAAAAAAAGTTATTTTTAATTTATTTTTTTTCAAAAGGATAGGCCCTCCCCCCTTTTAGCGCCCCGCTGGCATGAGGGTTTGCCCTAAAAGGAAATAACAAAAAAAGTTTCAATTTTTAATTTATTTAAAATTTTAACAGGAAAGGGGGTACAAGCCCCTTTTGGGGTTTGGCTTGGATTTTTATTTTGGTTTTTTAAAGTTCTTCGGGGGACTTTGTTTCCACTCCCAAAACGGGGGCAGGGGAAAGGTAAAAGAACAGTATTTTTTGGGAAATTTTTTTTTTGGAGAAACCCCCCGGTTTGGAGAATTTGTTAAAAAAAACATGAAGTGTAGTGTGACGTAAGTGTAAGTAAAAGTAGGAAGACGTCCCTGAAATCTTGCATTTTTTATGAGACAGAAAAAGGACACCAGCAATCCTACCATCATGTAAAACAATTACAGGCTTTCGTTTTACACTCACTTGGCAGGACGGTAGTACATCCGTGAGCGGTTTGCTGTCTACCAACCTACTACCTAGATTGTATAGTATTATATAATGTAAGGGGAAATTAAAGGTGTGAGGTCTGGGTATTGTATCTAATTTTGTCATATTAATAGGGTGAAGAGGTGGAGCATCTGAATGCCATCTTGGCCAGCCTTCGGCAACAGCTGGTACACACTATGGAGGGATGCCGAGCGTACACGGCTCTCCTTGCAGGCCAAACACAAGGTATGACCTGTCTTTTTTTTTAATTGGATTTGCAATTGTTTAAAAATCTGTGTAAATTATAGTCATCAAATTATTTTCATGCTAATAAACCCACTATACTTTAATCTTTAATCTAGAAATTTTAATTGCAGTTTTTATTACACACTGCAACTATGATAGAATTTGTGCATTGTAGGTTGCCCTGGAGGAGTTAACAAGACGAGTGGAGCGGCTGACGGAAAAAGCTAAACACTTGGCTTGCCGGGGCCAACTTAAGACTCTATTATCTCCACACTTGCCTCACAGATACGTGCAACCCTCAGTATTTGAAGGAAATAATTGAATTAAAACAAATTAGGCTTATAGTACTTGTTTTATACTAATACAGAATCATTCTAAGAATTAGTAATATTATGCACAAAAAAAACAAATTATTTTTGAAGGGATTTCTAACTTTGAAATTTAATGTTTTTTTAGAAAGAGGGTGGGGAAAAAAACTTTCGGAGAAAATATTGAATTGATTTTTAAAACCTGTGTTTGCTTTGCATTTTTTCAGTGTTGAGTTCTCTTCACACTCTATTTTCCCTCAGGAATGCTATGTGAAGGTGGCAGTGCAGGTGAGCCTGTAACATAATTTTATAAATAACCCATAAACCCATTATTTTGACAGATCGGGCAACATGGGCGTAGTAATCAATCAGCTGCGCCCGGGTAGGTGAGGTTGGCCAGAGTGACCAGTCAGCAGGTAACAGCATACAGATCAAAATCTGCCTACTGCTACCCCACTGCCTGCTGTGCCAGACTTTGATGTTAACACTGTCTGCTCATTCCTCAACCAACCGAATGAGGTAAAACTATAAAGGTGTTCTTTATTTATTTTTTAATGACTGAAGTGTAACAAAAAGTTGTCTATATTCAGTAATAACCCACATGGAGACAAACTCAGGGGATTGATTGACCTGTATATTTCAACTCCCTTCTGTCTATATATTTTTATTTTAATCATTGGGAAGCACTAAGCCTATAGAAGTTATCAAAGGGGAAAGGAAAGTGATCAGGGAGATCCGAGGAAAGAGGGATAGCTTCTGTTCCTTGGATCAAGTGCCCCTCACTTTCTCAAGGCTCTTTTACCCTTTTTAAGAGTCGATTGAATTATATTTATTTTCATGTTAGGTAGTTGGAACATTGGAGTTTGTTAATGAAACTCATCATTGAAAATATCCTCCATGATTTTATTGCTTTTTAAAGACAAACATTCTTTTCAATTTAAAGACAGTACCTATTCAACTCACTTGTACGTCCCTTTACAACCATTGTGTTAATTCTAACCTCTGTATTATATAAATTTCATGAACGTTTAGTATTCATTAGGAAGTTAAATATTTATATTAATGAAAGTTCAAATAATTTTTGCTAATTTCTGCTGTACTTTTTACTCTAATTGAACACATTCTTTTTTAATTTAACTTATTTATTTAAAAAAGACTTTTAGCAATAACATGGGAGAGGTAAACTAAGTTATATACTATTCTTATGGTCAAAATCATAATTACTGTAAACTTGGGTCAGTTTTCATGCAAGTGAGATAGGCCTACTAATATATGTGTACTGCTAATTTTAATGAGGGGTTGCCATGATAGACAAAATTAATCAGTTTTCTAATGAAAGATCCAGCTTGCAGGTAATGGTTATTTTGTCAGGAACATTTTGGTGGCTAATTAACCTGGGACAGGGAAAGCATTAAATTTTTAACACCTGTCAGACACTAAATTATGCATGGTTCTTAACTGAGGAATGTTTCAATACATTAGTGCTTGTGATAAAATGCACACAGAAATTTTTCACAAAAACTTTTTCTAGTCAATAGGCATATTTAAAATAACCTCGGTAAAAATGGCCTATAGTGGGAAGAGGGTTCCCTTATAATGAAGCACCTTTACCTCCCATGGAATTTGATCTCTTATGTCTGAAATCAGTTATATGGGGTTTGTTTTTACCGAGGTTTACTTCATATTTATTTAAAAGTTTCGTTGGTTATAGAAAAGGCTTCATAGGGGTGTATAATAAATAAGCTTACAAGTGGTGACAGAAATTTATTTATAATGTTAGGTTAGTTTACAGTTGCTTCCTCATAAGACAGGCTAGTCATTATTGGCGAGTCAGATTTAGAAAGTCCATCACGATAAAATGCCCTTTATTTTCAGGACATCAGTATCTAAAAAAAAAATGCATTTAAAAACGAATTTGGTGATAACCTGAGCTGGGATTAGTGCCACTCTGTTGGAAGGTTAATTTTATTTTGATACAGAAGGTGGACAACTCCAGATGTGTCTTAGCAGATCAAGCAGTTGCATTTTTTCAGTATTTTACTGTGGGGTTCTTTATTTATGCAAGATTTGGCTCTTAATTATTTTAATGCACTTCAGTGTATCAGTTTTATATAAATATTCTTTAAGTAACTGCAATGCAGGCTGCTTGATTGTGGTATAGACATTTGAAGAGTCACCTTTGGTAGTGTGTGGAGAGTTAATAGTAGAATAAATAACATATAACATTAATTTTGATATGTCTTGAATTTGGTGTCATTTGCAAATATATATTTCATAGAGTAATGGCAAGAGCAGTTCTATCAAGTATTCTTAGACATAGGAAATTACAAAGTACTGTATAATTCTATATTGTGTATAATGAGCAAATTGTTAAATCAGAGCATGAATCCAGAAAAATTGTCACTAGCAAAAATTCATCAGTGTGGGCATGACCTGACATTGCCAGTAGTGTGTGCCCGCGTTACTTGAGGAGTCTGTCCTAACCATCTTCCACTGACTGTCACTCTAGTACAAAGTTTAATATTCCTAACTTGCTTTCAGAATATTCAAATAAATTGCCAAGTATGGAGAGACAGTAGACCAATTTTTCAGTTGTCTGCTTGTCTTTGTACTATGGTATTTATTTATCTCCTGACTGCATACTGAAAATATGTACTATTCTAGATATTTGATATCTTGGTGTTGGGTTTTGGTATTTTTACTGAAACATAGTGAGAAATTAGCAACTAACATATATTAGAGCTGCACTTCACAAGATGCTTATATAGATTCAGTGGCTTATGAAATGGTCTTCTTATGCATGGACCTGCTCATTTCTGCAATGATTTATTTATTATAGCAGTATGGTACACAGTGTCTAACATATCATTATTTTGTAAACATTACTTTTGCAGTACTCTGAAATTGAAATTACTGTATTATCATTATGAATTTCTATTGTTCAGTGGACCTAGTCTGCCTGTATATCACTCGAGTAAAATTGTCAATAATCAAGTTACTGTTATATCACTACCCCAATATAGTCTGTTTTTTCTTGTTAAAATTCTAGTGCATAATTTCCACAATCCTTGTGCCTTTTTTCATGCTTAAGCATCTTTCAATTATTCTTCTAAGACTGATGCACTAAACATAGCTTTTCAGACATTTACATT